AAAAAAAAAAAAAAAAAAAAAAAAAAAAAAAAAAAAAAAAAAAAAAAAAAGTAGTCTCTTATATATATATATATATATATATAAAATAATTATATATATAATATACATTTCTTACTAACAAAAACATGACATGAAATTAGACTAAGTAATATTAACTCTCCCCCTTTTCTTTATAATTTAAGCAAAATCTCAAGCCTAGTTAGAAAACCCAAACTTTTCCATTTAAACAGTTCCATTTATAACACAAAAACAGTTCTGTAAGTAATTTCATTTTTACACAAACAGTTCCACAAAACAATTCATGAATCACCAATTAATAAAGCATATATGCATACACAAAACTACATCTTGATTCTAGGTAGAAATAAATTTCTTCATTTAAACAGTTCCATTTTTAACCCAATTCCAGAAAACAGTTTCTAGGTCATTACTATAAGTAAACTCAAAATTGTCCCATTGCAATGAAATCTCTACTGTTCATTTCATTAAGTCCCAAAATTCAAATGATAAATTCTGGTACTAGCCTTCCAAATATGAAGAAATCCAGAACCAAAATTTTTCTGTAGTTTTATCTCATTTTAAGTTCAAAAAGTTCAAACAAGGTAAATTCTGGTATCAGGCTTTCACTTCAAAATATGAAGAGACGTTTTTCAAGCAAAACTTTTTGCAGTTAACAATTTTTGCTCAAACAAGCGTCTCTGAACTTATTCTCAAGCCAGAGACCTTTTTAGGTACAGTAGTATTCTAAATCGCACCGCTTTTGATGTTAGCTCAGGTTTTTCTGTGTTGTGGCGATTTTCCACGGATCTCAGCTGCGATGCCTTGTGCTGGTTCTGGCGTCCGCCATTCTTAGCTTCTTAGCGGCTTCTGGAACTTTTGAAAACCGCTCAGACTGCCTGCTTTGCAGTCTTCTAGGACACTAACTTCTAGATCTCAGGTTTTTTCATCATATACATTAAGCATAGACTCACACTTAACATTTACACTTTTTCACAAACTCACATATAACATATTTTGCAAAGCATTTAGACTCACATTCAACATTTACACTTTTACAAACTCACATATAACGTATTAATATCTACTTATTTATACTCCTTAAGGAAACTATAGAACTATTTTAGCAAATATATTTATTACTTCTTATATACTTATATTCATTCCATCTTATTTCTTATTTAAACTTACATTTACAACTAACATCTTTACTTCTTACAAGCTTATTACTACATGTCTTAAGACTACCTTAGATACTTCTTGCAAGCTTATATTCTTAAAGGATCTATAGATCTATTTTACAAACTTATATAGGGCTACCGTTAGCATATATTTAACTTAACAAACACCCAAAGATTTCTTAACACAGAGATCTAACAAGAGAATAATTTCTACAAACTCATATCTTATTTTCATCTTTTTCTACTTCTTACTCTTAATTATTATTACTATCTCTATTAGAAAGATTCTCTTAACTAGACAGAAAGCACGTACATCATTTCTAAAGTTTAGAGTTAATAGTCAGCTTTGTTATAAAGCACTGGGATTTAGTGAGTGTTGTTGTTATAGAATTGTGATAGTTGTTGCTAGGGGACTGTAACATCTTCGGATGAAGCCACACTCCAAAGTTGCCAGTTCTCTCAGCCGTTCCGGAACCGGCAGAGATGCACTGTCAACGGTAGATGGTTTTTAACTAGAGGCTGTCCCTTCACCCAAACTCATAATAGTCCCCTAAGTGCTTCAATTCAGACAAACGTTTCTATTACAGCAGTACTTTTGGTTTGTTCTACTGAAAAACTTCACTTCATGCTGAGTGTGAAATTACCATATTTAGCTGCTGTAATGGTCTTCGCCAAATGCTGCACAGCTATTAGGTGGTATAAATTATTTTTCTAAAGGAGCTAGTAAGACCAAAAGCGGCACAGCTCTGAACTCTATTTCCGCACTGCTTGCATTAACCAGTGACAAAACCTCAGAAACACTAATTGAGCCACTTTCATTCTGGTTCCTTTATAGGAACATCATTGGAGCTGACCCTTCCTTAGTTCCATGCTCCTTACCAGACACTCCGGTAACCACCGAGCTTCATTCTCTTCTTGTGAAAAAACACAAACATGTCCTCGACCCCATATTAACACAGGATCGGGACCCTTCCATAATCCCGAGCAGGGATCTTTCCATTTCCCATTACCCTCAGCTAAAGGACCAGGAAGATTGGAGTGAGCTCTAATATGGCCTGCAAAGCATGGCAGCTTTCTTTTGTGAATAGCGTCTTGGATTTGTTGAAACATTTTGACTGGATTGTTGTTAGTTCCAGTATTTACCAAAACTGTTACTATTCAAAAGAGTTAAGAACATAGATGTTCTTTCATGAAACATATCCTTCATTAGCTTACTCTGAGAAAAAGCATTTTCAAGATTTAGTATTTTCATTTTATTAGCTTTAACTACTGATGTTATTAGCAGCTGTGATATTTACCATTGATTTCTTATAAGGAACTTTCAGGTGAAGCAACTCTTTTGTAAGACAGCTAGATTTTCTGAAGTTTGTTCCCATCTATAAAGCAGTCATTTCTTTGAATGCCTGTTTCTTATCCCCTTAATTAGATTTGCAAAGGAATCACTCGTTGCAGGCTGTTTGTTCAAGAGGTAAATAATTTTTAATTTCACATAAGTTTCTTCAGATCTTAGACAACATTCAGTGTATAAACTGCTCTCTCTTGCTTTCTTAAGGATTTTAAAGTGGCTTGTTTGCTCTTATAGGTAGCTTTTTGTCATCCAACTATCGTTAAAGACTTTGCACAGCTATTAGGGTAAATAAGGCATTTTACCAACGGAGCCTCAAACCACGAAGCACCTAGTTCCGTATCCTTTCAATTTTTCATTGGAACTGACACTTAAACTCTTAGACGACTTTCCTCCTTATTCTTTTAAAGGCTGTATTTTAAGTTTACCATGAACGTATTTTCGAGCTGACAAATGTTTCAGGGAAATGTCGCTATCTTTAGTGGAAAAACTACCTTTCCCAGAATGCATTTCCCTTATATCAGACCATAATATTATCAGTCCCTTATATCAGTCCTTTATATCATTTCCCTTATATCAGTCATTTCCCATAGTTCTTTTTGGGTCTGAGAGTCAACTGGTTCTCTTTTACCAGACTTGCTTACAAATTCTTCCCCGGGAGGTTTGAACAAAGTTTTTTGCTTTTGCAATGGGAGATTTGAACAAGCATTTTACATTTTCAGCTATGAGACATTGGGAGATTTCTATTCTCTCCTCAGCTGGCTTCAACAGGTGTCTCTCTTTCATTTGACACTGGCCCCCAAATCAGAACTGCACCTGCCTTGTTAGTGCGCATTGAGGTGGGCAATTTCTGATAGCAACTTTCCTCGGGGCTTGTGTTTGTCTTAGCCAGTCAGTGAAAAACAAGATCGTGTACAACAGCTTTTCCATAGCTCCTTCAGAGAGATTTTCTCCCACTGACTTTATTCTCATTTTGCTTGTTCCTTCCTTCCCCAGATGCAGAGCTTCAGGTATCTGTCTGCAGCTCTGTACCTCTGCTAGCTGCTTTTGGAGGTAGGGGCTTTTTTTTCTCCCCCCAAATCTGCCTCAAATTCTAGCAGCTTTTCACAGGTCATGTATTTTCTGGGGAGGAATATGTCCCTTCTGTTTCTTCGGAGTCTTTTTCCCAGACAGTTCCCAGTTTGGTCCCAGTTTATCCCCTCTACCCCAGAAACAGTTTCCAATACTACAGTGGCGGCTTTGCCTGCAACTGAAGGTAGGGGTTTTTTGTCTGTTTGTTTTCGGGGTCGGTGGTTTATGTACAGACTGAAAATCTAACAAGGGAGGTTTTTGCCATCTCTAAACTCCCATTAGGACAGGTGTTTTTTCCCTCAGGCCTTTCACCTGACCCAGTCCCCCAGTGGGTTGCATTTGCTTGTCTGGGTGCTCAAGGACAGCACTTATGCCAGAGGCAAATCACCCCTTAGGGCTACACTCCCTCATCTCAGGGAGTCAGTTGAAACAAAGCTTTTCTCAAAGAGGTGCTTTCTCTGACAGAAAAGAAAGCTTTACTCCTGGATAGGTCTGTTCTGCCCAGGCTGGGCTCTTTCCCCAGACAGCGTTCTGACTCGGCAGCACGACTGCTTCAGACACAGTTCAGCTTTACTGTTTTCCCAGAAAGGTCCTTTCTCTGATAGGAAAGCTTTTTTCAGATTTCTTTTTGGAGCTGTGGACCTATCAACCCAGGACTTGTAGGAAAGTGGACAACTGTGCTGTTCCCACCGGCTTTAGTTTTGTTTGTTCATTAGCAGTATTCCCCTGGGTCCTGCACCTTCCTGCCTCAGCTCTGTGCTCCAGGAAGTTTACCACTGCAGGAACCCTAGTATCCCCGAAATGCACTCCAACTCAGAGATGCTGGGTTTTTGCTCAGAAGTGAGGATACAGTGCTAACAGTTTGCATTGCTTCAGAGGATCTTTGCATTAGGACGATTAGGAGCACCTTTTCAAAGATGCTCACTCAAACAAAACCCTTGATGCCTCAGCTCGGCTGTAACTGAAAAGCTTGGCTTTTTTGCTTTTCTCAGGTAAAGTTTCCCGCCCTTTTGGGCTCTCTGTAGCTTTTTACCCACACTCTCCCAAGCATTTCCCTCAGGGTGCTCTGACCCACTGTCTTTTACTAGTTTGAAGAGACAGAGCTTAGAAGAGGTTTTTAGCCAGTATTTTATTTTAGAATTATGTTCAGCAATGTGGCCATCTATCTGCTCAAGTTTCAACTTAACACTAAGTGCATCTTTCTGAAGAGCATGTTCATTTTCTTGAATGACTTTTAGTTCCTGAAGTAGATTACGATGTTCTTTCTGGATTTCTGGTAATGACTCCTCTGCGGCATTTGTATTTTTGATGACTTCTTCTGCTTTGTCTTCAATATTTTTTAATTCTGCTTTTAAATCATTTGTTTCTTTCTCAGTGTCTTTTATCTCTTTCTCTGTGCGGATTTCAAAAATAAAATTGCATCCTGTAGAAGATAATCCTGTTGAGACAGTGTCAGTTCTAAGCCCAGAGGATCTTGAGGCAATCAAGGATCCAGGTTCTATAACAAATCAGATTGCACTTTTGGAAACTCAATGTCATGAAATGAAACCAAATCTTGGTGCCATTGCAGAGTATAAAAAAAAGGAAGAATTATATTTGCAAAGAGTAGCAGAGTTGGACAAAATTACTTCTGAAAGAGATAATTTTAGACAAGCATATGAAGATCTTCGAAAACAAAGACTGAATGAATTTATGGCAGGTTTTTATGTAATAACAAATAAATTAAAGGAAAACTACCAGATGCTTACTTTGGGAGGGGATGCTGAGCTAGAGCTTGTGGATAGTTTGGATCCCTTTTCAGAAGGAATCCGGTTCAGTGTTCGACCACCTAAGAACAGTTGGAAGAAGATCTTTAACCTTTCAGGAGGAGAGAAAACCCTTAGTTCATTGGCCTTAGTGTTTGCTCTTCACCACTACAAACCCACTCCCCTCTACTTCATGGATGAGATCGATGCAGCCCTGGATTTTAAAAATGTGTCCATTGTTGCATTTTACATATATGTGAGTAAATCTTTGGAAATTTTATTTCTTGCTATCGGGATTTTAACTTTACCCAAATTCCTCTCAACCTCAACATTTATGAATTGTCCTTTATCAGTGCAAATATGTTAATCATCTGTCAGAATTATTGCCCAAAACTTTGGAGTAATGCTTGCCTATTCACTATATGACTTAACTGTTCTTTTTCTTTTTAGGAACAAACAAAAAATGCCCAGTTCATAATAATTTCTCTTCGGAATAATATGTTTGAGATCTCAGATAGACTTATTGGAATTTATAAAACATACAATATTACAAAAAGTGTAGCTGTGAACCCAAAAGAAATTGCATCTAAAGGACTTGGCTGAACTTGTATATATTGAAGATTCTTCAAATTTACCTAGATTTAGTATTTCTAGGTTTCTAACTGTAAAGAATTGTAAGGTGTATAAAGTACCTTTTCCTTTAAGTTGTATGACAAGTGGTTTCTGTTTTATTAGTGATAATGTCTAAAAAATTGTATCCAGTTCTGTATCATAAAAATGAGTCTAGCTGAAAAAAAAAAAAAAAAAAAAAAAAGAAGAGGTTTTTAGGAACTTGTCCCTGCCTCCTGCATTGCAGGGAGGATTTTTAAGGCTTGAAAGTCAGAACTTAGGTTTTGCTGTCTTAAGAGGTTTGTTGTTTTCCCTTAGAACTAATCACAGGTGGTCCTCATACTAATATCTTCAGGTGATTCTAATTTTTGTCCTTCTGAGAGTGAGTTCTGAAAGGCTTTAGTTTTTAAGTTTGAGAGCTTTTGAGAAAGATTAAAGCTTTTTAGAGAGATTTTTTTCCCCAAATTTTCCAAGAAAAGCTTTATAGTTTAAGAGAAAGATTTTTTTCCCCAAGAGAGAAAGACCAACTTTTCCCAAAACTTCCCAACTTTAAACTTTGACTTTTTACACCCCCATTTTTGCCTCAGGGAGAAATCACTTTCTCCTGCTGCGTGGACTTAGCATTTCAGCTGTCCCCAGGTCAAAAGCTTCCATAGGAAACTTTTTCTTCCCCATAAGCTCAGAGAAGAGTTTTGCTACCCGTAAAGCCCAAAGAAAGATTTTTTCCCAGTTTGCATTCAGAGCCCCCAAAGTTAGAAAATTGAAGAGTTTTTCCGTCTAGTTGCCTTACTTATTTTTTCTACACAATCTTACACTTCTAAGTTTTTCCTAAACTATATTTTACTACCCTCTGCCTTATACTTATTTTTCACAGATAGAAATTGAGAAAGGGATACAAGATAGAAAATTTTGACAGAAGAGAATTTCGCTGCAGCATCGGACATCCTTCCAGTCCGCTTTCCTTTTCTCTCGAGGATAAAACCCCTGCCTCTCAATATATATAAAAAATATATATTTTTCATAACACCGGCATGCCTTATCCACTGGCAGGGCTAACTCAGCACTTTCGCCAAAAACTCTGTAATAAAACTATTATTTTCCTTTATCTTTAGTCCCTATTACTTTGTCTTTAGTCCCTGTTCATTTGTCTTTAGTCCCCCTTTTTTTAGTCCCCCTTTTTTTCTTTAGTCCCTTTTTTTTTCTTTTTTCTTTAGTCCCTGTTCGGGCGCCATTCTGTGGGGCATTTACCCACCACCCCCAGAGTTTTCTTGAGTGCGAGCAGCAGGAAATATTAGATAGAAGGATTTATTGCAGAGAATATCGCGGAGATAAACAGATAGAAAATAAAGGATAGCCTCGAGAGGGCCTGGAACCTATTCCAACGGGCCCCGACTGTCTCTGCCCCAGGGTTTTTATAGAGACACCGAGGGGTGGAGCAAAAGACCTCCTCCCCCAGCACAGCCAAGTGCAGACCATCTCAGACACCTGCACTCAGGCCCGTAGTCCTAATCATCCTCTATGGGGACATGCTGGGTAAAGCCACGAGGAACCCGAGAATGGGCTCCCACAACACATAGTATAACAAAATTAACTTTAAATATGTATCAATAAACTAAAATCCACACTGATGTAAAATATGTAACATTAACAGTTTTTTTCTGGATTAAAGTAGATTTAGTAATCTACCCCTTTTCCCCCATCATTTCTATAATATATCCCCCCTTCTTTTTTAGAAAGAGAATGACTCACCATTAACCATTTATAATCAATCCCCTTTAAATGAAAACAACATTTATAAACAATATTTTGAGTATTTTGGTATAGTTTTCTATACTACTTCCTGCTGATTGGGGGCACTGGTAATCTTATGGGGATCCTGAGAAAATTTAGAACTATGGTTAAATCTTGGCTGTAGTAGTCTGTGAGGCCTCATTGTCTCAGTCAGTTGCCTTGAAGCTGTTCTGGATGTGGGATCATCTGGCCCATTGCTGTCATTGAAGACCTTTCAGGGGGTCTTGCTCAATCAAACCATATTAACCTGGAAGGAATCCACAGGTTCTCATCCTCTGTGGGAACAAAAGCAGAACCTCTTTTCCAAAGCAATGTATCCTTAGACCCAAATATCAAAGTCAAGATACCTTTAAAATATATATGTTGGTTTAACTTAGTAGCCCCCACAATCAAATATCTCTCTGCAGTTAGCTCATTAACAGTCAAATAAATCAAAGAAAAAAATATATTATATATAAAATCCATACTCTGTGTATTTTACATCTTTATGTGGTTAATTTCTTTTATATTATTTTTACTGTCTCTTGTAAGACTTTATTTTTTTAAAACTATTTCTTTTTATAATTGACTATATTCTTTTTCCTCTCTCTCACAAACCTACATATATTTTTAAAACACATTGGGTCCCATTTAGAGGTTTCTTTTGTCTGAATCTGTCTTTATTGTGTATCTGTAATCTTTTTCTGATCAGTGTTTTGAACTGCTAAGTGGGCGTGGCTGGACCAAAGTAGCAGCTTTGGCTGTTGGTCCCACCCTTTTTGGTTTCCCAACATGGCAGAGGAATCCAGGAGAGTTACGCTCACCCCTCCTCCCTACTTTGGAGTCCATGCTGCCACCAGTAGTATGCAGCTGGCCCACAAACCTTTTTTGTCTATATGAGTAAAAGCTAAATCCACCACGCAGTGTGCTGCACAGCTTGGAGACACCTCTGTGTACCATGGTGGGAATCTGCCATGCTGTGCTCAAGCCTCAATGCTGTGGTGTCTCTGTACTGTGGCCTGCATGAGAGACACAAGTAGGAAGCTGATTTTTTTTTGTTCCATTTATGTGTTTTACAACCCTTTTTCTTTAAAGCTTCCTTAGCTCTTATGTGGAAATTCCTGCCCCATTTGGCTGGGTGTCAAATGTAGCTGGAGGCTTTTCTGTGTCTTACCCTGTCTCACAGCTGCTTATAAAATAATCACTCAGAGGCTTATATTAATTATAAATGTTTGGCTTATGGCTCAGAATTATTACTAACTAGCTCTTACAACTTAAATTAACCCATTTCTATTAATCTATGTATTGCCACATGGCCTTGGTATTACTGGTCTACTGGCATTTTGCTCCTTAGGCAGCTGGATAGCATCTCCCAGACTCCACCCTTCTTTTCCTGTATCTCTGCTTGGATTCCCTGCCTGACTCTGACCTGCCTTGCCATAGGCCAAAGCAGCTTTATTCATCAACCAATAAGAGCAACACATATTCACAGCATACAGAAGGACATCCCATATCAAACGTGACTGTGTTTGGAAATAGGAGCTTTTAGGAAACAATTTGTCTTAAATAAGGACAGAGGTCCTGACTCTATGTCTGTCATCTATAGGAAGAGGAGGGCAGATTGCAGATCCATGAGGAACCTCTGTGTAAACTCAGTGGAGACAGCAGTCATTTACAAGTGGGAGAAAGAGGTCTTATAATGAAAGAAACTTTGAAATACTGGAGTCTCAGGCACTTACTCTATAGAACTATGGGCAGTTGAGTTTCTGTTGTTAGAGTAACTCAGCCCAGGGCACTTTGGCAGATGTCTTAAATTAATTAATTAATTAATACAGTACCTGTAGTAAATCTAACAAGAAATATTATATTATTGTACTGCTATATGAAGATCAACTTTAACGGAAAAGATTCAATGACTTCTTATCAATGCATAGGTAAACTATTATGAAGATATCTATTCTAATTAACTGACAACAAAATTTAGTATACCTCTACTAAAAACCTTAATAAAAGAAAACACTGAATAAAGTTGAGAAGTTTGATTAATTTGAAAATATTTGTGGAAAAGCAAATTGTTAAAATATTCTAAATACATGAAGGGAAAAGATAATCACTTTCACATATATGAAGATTTATTATAGAAAATGTAGTAATTGAGAAAAAATGGTAGGGAGATACTGTTTAACACTCTTTTAGTTACCCAAAATTGAGAACTATGAAGTTGTTAAGTGTTAGAAGAGATATGGACCAATGACAGCTTCGACACATTAAACACAGCATTTTCTACAGCTCTGTTCATAACAGACATAGGAAACAAGACAAATATGAACAATAGAAAAACACACAAACAGTTACATAAGGAAATGTTATCTGTTCATGAAAGCAATTGATCTATTTTTATCCAACCATGAATGACTTTTAGTAACTCAAAGAATGAAGACACAATTCCAGAAGATCTTTCAATATGGTACCTTTTTGAAACAAAACAAACCTACTAAGTTCTGAAGTTTGTACCTACACCTACTGAAGTGACATTTCTTAGCTTTGCTTCATGCTCTGAGACTATTTAAATTTGGAGAAATTGGACAATCAGGCAGGCAGAGGGGAAAACTGGATAGTTTGCAAATCCCCATTTACAGATAAGTCTCAATTTAGAAATATCTGTTAGCATCACATTTTAATCTGATACATAGAGCTAGTATTGTTCAGGTTTAGAACTTTGAATTTGTTTCTGTTCTCAGTACATTCTTAATGTTATTTCCACTCTCCTGCACATGTCCTAATGTTTGATGAGTTGTGTTTTCTCATCTGCTATCTTGGGGCACAGATGGAATGGAAAAAGAACTATTTCCTACCGTGTCTCACAAATAATTTCCATGCAGTGCCTCAGATCAAATTGCCATGACAAAGATCTTTTTGTTTAGTTGCATAAGACCTTAATTAAAAAAATTCAAATAGTCTTGTTCTGTGCATTGCTTTTTACCATTTTACAGAGAAATAAATTGAGGCTGAAAATTTCTCAGCAAAAGCCACACCATCAGGGTATGTCTTAGTTTCTTTTCCTGTTGTCATGATAAAATGACCTGACAAAAAGGTGCTGTTAGGATGAAACACTTCTTCCTTTTGGCTCACAGTTCCAGGAATAGCTCATTATGGTGGGAAAGCCAAGGTAGCGAGAGCTGCAAACAACCGATCACATCACACCACCCCAGGAAGCAGAGAGACAAATCGGCACACACATTTCAGTTCTATTTCTCAGTTCATGTCCAGGATTTCCACAAGGGAATGGGGCCACGCACAGCGAGTGGGCCTTCCTACCTCAGTTACCCTAATGAAGAGAATCTTCACAGGCTTTCCCAGAGGCCCTTATCACAGGTGGTTCTGGATCTAAAGATGTTGTCATTTGAGATTAA